TTTTTTTCTCCTTGTGCAGAGCCTCCTTGAAAAAGGAAGAATAATTTGCCACACAGTCGACAATGGAAATCCACATACGTGAGTTGTATCGACAGTTGGCTCGAGAACGGTTGACGTAATGGCTAATTGTTCGATTAACACCGGACCTAGCTCTCTTCCCCTCGATCGGTAATTATTCAACAAGCTTGCCAGTATGGTACTTCCCTCATCTCCCCTCTCCATTCCTGTACACCAAACCACCTGCTAATTCACACAGCGTCGTCCACACTGTTTTCAAAGGGAATTAACGATGAGTCGACACGCAAAGGGTAAACGCGAACGCAGCTCTGACATACAAGCCGCTTGATCAATGCAAGCTTCTGATGGTACTCTCACTGATCCCCTCACCACCCATCCACCCCCTACCTGCCCTTTTCGCCCCTTGCCAACCCTATTCACGCCCTTTCGCACCCCCCCATCTCCCCCTCCTCGCCCTCCTCGCCCTCCTCGCCCTCCTCTTTCCATTTCGCTGAAACGTCAACTGTAATTTGATACGCAACTGAATTCAATATTGAATCCATCCATTGCTTGGTATCCCAGTGAATTTTCACAGGAATATGCTGTCTCAGATTAAAAATTCAATTGAGCAAACAAATAATTGATGGAAAATTCGTTTGATCTCAGTGGCACTGAGTCAAACAAATACACAATAAAATTGGAGCATGAGGTGCACAATAAATGGTTGACCCTGTTTTTCATGTATGGCAACGTAACGTTTTTGTTTTTGTTTTTCGACTTTTTTTTTATCTTTGTTTTGTTTTGTTTCCTTTTCTTTTTCCTCCTATTTCACTTCACTTTGGTAGTGAAAGAGGAAAAGAGGAAGAGGGAAAACATAGCTGGCAGTCTGAATGAGAACGGTGGATGAAGTGATTCAAAGATAGGTAACTGAGAGAGTGAGGGATAGTGAAATGAGAGGGAGCGAGTGGGTGAAGTGAGGGGGAGTCCTCACAGGCGTTTTCCATTCCCAAACCCTGAGAGCGTTGAATACGCGGCAGAGGAAACAATGGCTGTCGTGGCCCGACTTTTGTAACGCTATCGTCGTTGGCCCGACGATTGAAAAGATGGCGGAGATAACGAGCGAGCCTCTCGTACAGGGGGGACTGGGGGGGAGGGAAACCCGCACAGAGAGGCACTATATCAATGTGAAAAACTTTTTCATTCCCTTTGCCCGCTTCCCTTATTCCACCGCTCGGTTATTATGATTATCATCATTAGAGTACCCGTATAAATAGAATGATTCTCACTGACAAGATACTCATTTTTCTTCTTTCTTTTTTCTTTCTTGTGTCCAACGTAAACGCCAGTCTTGGAAATTCCGCTTTACCTCCGACATCTCCGAGGGGAGTTCTCTATCGTCCGTCTGTGTTGGCAGGAAACAAGAATATTGTCAGCAGCAGGGATTTTTATTTTATTTTCTTCCTTTTTGTTTTCATTATTTTTTCTCTCACAGTTTTTCGTTGGTATCAATCACTGCGAACTCCTCGCTGAGGAAATGCAACCAGTTGATATATTTCCTACTTGACTCACAACGAACGAGATTTTTCCTTTTTCATCGTGCGTATTTTTCCTGTTTTCCTCGTTCTTTTTGCCCCCTTCACCTGGGATATAAATTGCGAGGGGAAAAAAATCTTCTCTCGAGTCATTGAAACGAATGAATGCGGTCTAGAGTATAATTTCCACAAGAATGAAGAAGAATTTCCGATGAAAGGGTCTCTCTTGTAGTGCCCCTGCGGTGGCAATAAGGTATTGCACACTCGGGTGTATTTCTGCCCTTTAAAGCAATCCCCCGTAAATGATATCATCTATATGGTTGCTGATACTAGCATCAGGTCAAAATCCATGATGTCCCCATGTATGTGCATGACACACGGATGAGACACTTGAGGATAGTTTTTTTTTTGTTGATTTTCTTTTATCAGCCCCGATGAGGCTCAATGGGCTCAGTTTTCATTCAATAGTGGTTACTCTCAAAGCGGAGGAACGATAAAAGCTTGGCGAGAATTGAAGTCGCGCTCGGAATTTTAAATGCGAATCCATATAATGGGCGGGGTGAATTGAAGAAAAAGAGGTGATCGAATTGCACTGGGGAAAATTGATGGATTTTAATCAATGACCGATCGGACGCATGAGTGCAATGAAGCTCCATGCCATGAATTTAATCCATTTCCATTTAATCTTGGCTCACGTTTTCTCAGACAAAACAATGAAGAAGGCTCACCACACTTTAAAGTATAAGATGATAATAAAGTTGAAAAATAGGAGAGGGATTGAAAAACGCCGTGTACAGTGTGAGACTTGAAAAATCGTTAATTTAATAATAACTCAGGGGGTGGGGATTAATCTTGAGTCGTCTTTCTCCTGTTATTCCACTTTAGCCTTATGCCGATACCTTTTCTTTACTATTGTCGCCTTCCCCCAGCCCTTTATAAACAATACCACCTCATAAAGAGTCAAGCTCTTTGCCTTATCGAAATTCTTAATTAGGAAAATTTTAATTATGTTTTGAGGCTGGTCGGAGCGGTGGGGTATTATGCGTGGTATTGCTGATTGTTCTCGGTGAGACGGGCATTTTACCTGAATGTACTGAGCGAGATAGAATGTGCATAGAAAAGCTGCACACCTTGGAAACACTTGGGTAGTATAAAGAGGGGGATAAAAAAAATGACAGGAGGGGGTATACTTTGTTCCTTGAGGTACAGTGGGGAATCAAACTACCACTTGACTTATCTCCGTAAGTGTCAATAGATGATATTCCTCGATATTTGAGATCAGTGAAGGAGCAGGCGTGGAAGGGTTGGTAATTCCATCGGTGGCTTTGCCACTGGGACCCCATAAACTAACTCCATTAGCTGTTTAGCCAAGCGCTATTTATTAGGTTATAAAGTCAAGCCCTTCATAAAAGAAAATTGACCGGTCTGTTGTCTGATGCGAGAGGACGTATCCTCTTCGGTATTTAAACAGTTTTTCATGGTGAATTGGCTTTCTAATTGTTCACACAGTCAGTGGTACTCAATTTTGATATTGATGATGTGTATTTATGGGGTGTAGAGACGTAAAATAACGATAAGTGACGGAGTTGGGAATCGGGGCAACAGGTCTCCATGGTCTAGCATCGCTGTCGCGTCACACCAGAATGGGATGCGAGTGGAATCGCAACGTTGTGGTAACGGAAAAGCTTCTTGAAAGTATTCGAAGCACGCGCGGAATTACCTTGGGGATGCCAGGACTCACGGTGCGTGACAGAGGCCATCCCCATCGGTACGGAGAATAATGCCTCGTTGACGATTAGCGAAATGACGGGATCCTCTTCTAACGTCAATGCCTTGCTAATTGTCATCGTCTTTATTCCATAAATTCCTCGACTTCCTGTACGTGAAGTTCCACCTATTGATTTGACCAACAGCAACAGGTTAGTCATCGGTGAGCAACGATGATGAAATTTGATGTTGGCGTCACACGCTCGGTGAACTCTCTATGTCTCTCAATATTGGTTAAAAATGTAAATTGCCCGGACACATACTCTATACTTTGAACCATCATCTCTCGTTTTCGTTTTTCATTGGTGCTCGGGGCATCGCTTTGAGCAACGGCTGTGAAGTATAGGTAATTGAAAACACGCGTTATTCTCCTTCAGTATTCGCTTTAATCCAATATTTCTCGGTCCTCTGTACACAAATCCCGTCACGGCTCTGTCCAACTTTATACAAGCGAAATTTTTGGTAGTTTATCTCATTCAAAAGTTATTTCTGTCATTCACTCGTGTAGTCGTTTATTTATTTGTTTTGGCAAAATTGGGGAGACGGTTCCCAAGAATTGTCGGCACTGCTAAGAGTTCTGAATTTTCCGGAAAAACAGCTTTAATAGAAATATTTATTGAGAATTTTCAACGGTGAAGAGATAAACTAATTCAACATTGATTTAATAGCTGACCATGGAGGAAGGGCTCGTATAAAAGTCGTATAAATTTCTATGTATTCAGGTCATACGTAATTCAGTACTTCTGGCATTGTGTAATTTAATTGACAAAATGGAATTTCAAATGGGGAAATAAAAATTCATACAATCAGCGGTGTGTAATAGTTGAAATGATACCCGTACAGTTGCATTGGGGATTAGGTAGACGTCTCTCGACGCGTGATGACTGCTATGTGGTGGGTCGTGAGCGCGAGTTCGAAACTTAGATTGCCGTCACGTGGAAAACGAGGAATGAAAGGAAGAGAGTGAGAGGTGTTCTCATCTTGCTCCTCTCTCAGCCAATCTCGTTGGATTTCTGCGTGCAAGTGTTGACGATGCCTGGCACCACATACACCAGAGGTAGCTGTCGAGGTGGGGACGAGGGCAAGACATGACCGGCTTTTCCCTCCCTCTCCTGCAGCAAATCCGACGTAAGACCGCCGTGAAATCTCTATATTTCCCTCTCATGTCGTCAGGTCCTCTCGTCCTACCAGCACAAGGGCTCAAGTGCACCGTATCTTCCACTTACACTCGTGTAAATCGAGTAATGGATTAATTCTATAATTGGCTGCTTTGTAATCGGGAAAGCGGTGGGTAAGCACACCAGAAAAGGATATTGTGGGTAACCTATATAGTATTATGTGACGGTATGAGTATGAGAGTTAGGTAAAGGGGTGCACGAGTCCCTAGACGCGGCTCAACTGAGATTCTTCCTACTATGGTACATAGCCCCGGGGTAGTTAGCGGTGCAGCCTGGGCAAATAGACCTCTAGATCCGTTGAGAATAAGTTCTAGATTATAATGCTTCTATAAACGTATACCTTACGAGCCCAACGTGGGTAGCCAGTGTAATTTGAAAAATTCTTTCCAATGGCTGTTTCAACTTTTTTACATGCCTCCATAACCTTTCATTAATCCCTCCCACTTTTTTCATTGTTAGACAATTTTTTGAGCGATTTTTTTATATCTCTGACATGATTATAGCAATTGAATTATTCTCTTTTCAGGGTGGTGTTGTACAGCGCTAATTATTAACAGTGGCTTGGCAATACTGTACCAGAGTTACTGACAGAATGATGATGGCTAATCTACCCCCCGTTATGCTGCCGGCCCTCCATGAATATGGCATGCTGGCACCAACCCTCGGAATAAAGGTATGTTTCAATTCAATTTCAATTTAATTCTTTATTTTTGGAAATATCTCAAAGCTTTATTGGCGTTTGCAAAATCGAAATTTTACTTTTCGGGAAAAGATCGCTGAACCGGCATTTCATCTCTAATTTAATTCCCTCTCGTCCACGTTTATTTCGGGAGCGCCACATCACTTTTTAAGAGGTTTTAAATACTCTATAACCGCTATATATTCAGAGAGGAATTTAAATAAGGAAATTCAAACATTATCAACCTTCCGCACATTGTGCTCTCTGTTTCATATTTTTCCGTCAATTACAAGTAATCGAGTCATAAGCCCCGAACGGGAAGGATTAATTCTTTACCCGAATAAACTGTTTAACTTCAATCATAATTTTATGATAAATTGCACGAAAGGGCACAATCAACGCCGCATGCGATACTTCGTTGCTACTCTGCAAATATCAAAAAATTAATTATAATAATGGTATTATGGGAATACTTGATTAATCGGTGAGGAATTTTGGTGACGAAATTTTTTCCCAATGGTGCAGTAACCGATTGGGTTATTTTTCTTCTCGACAAAGGGGATTATCTTGAGTGTTAATTGAAAACACTGTGGCGTTGTATTTTCGTTGAATTAATGAAAACGAAGTGGTGAAATTTTACCCTGTACTCATCACCGTGGAGGGCATTTCCTAGTGGCACGTTTTACGGTATAACAAAACCATCGTATGTTGGCGGTTTGTACGTGCGTCGTCGATCTCCCAGTGGAATGGTACGCGTGTGTGTTGCCACCATCCCCTCAGGTCTGTGCGGTCCTCCTCGGACCCTCGTTTGCATAGACAAACAGAGGAGGTTTGAGAGAACACACGACGTGCCCGCAACACCGTTGTGGGACCTGTGCTCTGGTACTGGCACTGCCACTGCCACTGGCAGTGTGCCCACCACTGGCAACGTTTATTGTCGTTGGTATACATGTAAATTCACATCCCCATCGGTGTTAATTGTTTTCATTCATTGGTCATTTCGTCGATCGTTAATCATTACCCAATACCATTGGAATTTCAATCATTACCTCCTGTCTCTTCTATTTTACGCTCCATATCACTCTAACTATATCCCAATCATTAATCATCACCAATTAATATATATATATATAATAATATATATATATAAATCATACCATAATAAGGATCTAATAAGATTCCATTACTTCGAGAATGCATGAACTTTCAACTACAACAGTTCGCAAAATTCTCGGGCAATTACCAACATAAATTAATTGTTTTTCAAGTGAAAAGAGTATTGAAAGTGCGGGACAAGAAATTTTATTATGGATTATTCGTTGCGTTTTGTACGAAAAGATTGAAAGACGAAAACATTGGAGAAGCTTCTAGGTTCTTTATATATCGAATCTTTAGAAAAGTGCTGACCACTGAGATGGGTTATTATGGGATGGAGGGCCAGTGGGCAACGGGAAAATACAAGCAGTCCCAAAGAGAGAAAAAAAATAAATGAAAATGGGTTGAGATTCATCGATGAACGATCCATCCAAGTCACAGCGTCAAGAGAGCTTCGCAGACGTACTACCCGTTGGGGCTCAGTGAAAAATTATCTGCACCATCTGAATTTGTGCACATTATGTACCCTTTTTAAAAAAAAAAAGGAGAGCGTGATACGAAAGAGCTGATCATTACCCATTGGAGGCTATTTCAACCTAGAAATTCAGCCTTTTTTTTTATCATGACGCAGAATAAGACACGGAATGGGTCCAGCCATTGTCCGAAATTCCTAGAACTTTTTACAACGCCAGAGTATTTTCAGTGAGAGTTGCCCAAGCGCGTTCACGTCGTTCAATTGGCAGTTAACCTCCCCCCCATGAACGTGAAAACGCATTTGCTCGGTTGTTCAGAGTATAGGCCAAATGGAAAATTGAGTCCTCGTCCAATTTTATTATGGCACGTGCCGGGATCTGTAGGGCGGATATTGTATTGTTGTTTGAAAATAGGGCGGCTGAAAAACAACCAGTGTCCTCCTAATGTGCATTTGAATTCACATTACGATAAAATGGAATATTTTTAATACATCAACATATTCTACCGCAGTATCCACTAATGTCACATTATTGAATTTTAATGACCAAATGATTATAATGAAATAGTCGACGTAAATTGATATGGAGCTGCCAACAATGGCCCCATAGAATAGTGTTTAATTGTATTAGATGAAATTCAAGAGCCGTTTGAACTGTCGAAGCGCAAAATTATCTGAGCTTTAGTAGTCTCTTTGTGAATGTATACCTATCTGGTGTATTTGTATGTACCAGTGCTAGGACACGCACGATTGGTATACGCACAGGCCTTGCTACGCCTGACTGAGTCCACTTCTACTCCTCTAATTCTGTTAGCATCAAACAAACAATTCGGTTACAGCCGTATAATTGTTGGTAATCTCATCCACTAACGCAGTTTAACGGAAAAACTAACGTACCTCTGTAACTCGGCGCATATCCCACCGTCGAGTCACTAAACTCTATTTCTCTGTGTACACCCGCTCGGATGTACACTTGATTGTCTGCTAATTAAGAGTGCGATTGAAAAGCTCCCTCTCTCGTACGTGTATTAAATTCAATATTCCGCTGAATCCCGTATCAACTTTAATCTCACTATTTATTTACTCTTTCTCTCGTTTTTCTTCTCTTTTTTTATTATCATTGAAGGTCTTTTGGAGTGCACTAATCGATAGAGGACACATGGTTTCGTCTTTTCTCCCTCCATCGATAACTCCCACGGCTTTTCATATATCTTTTTCACTTCATAAATTTAATCGGCTTCGGCTTTATTGGATTTCGGGGTATATGGTCTTGTACAGGCAAGTTCACGTTCGAATAACGTCTCCATGTGGGCTCAAGGAACATCCTATGTATACATGGCTCTTTTTTCCTACATCAGTGGAGTGTCTTAAATTTCACTCGGGTCATCTTGTAGTTGCGAATAAAAAACAACCGATGATTAGGGATCACGTGGCAATTCATTTTTTGGATTCTGCGGAATTTGAATTTTTCGATATCGAATTTTCTGACTGCATCAATTTTTCACGATTAGTTTCCATAAATTTTGGAGAAAACTAATCGATGAGAAATTCTGTGCGAATAGTGGATTGTAACTGGTAGGTTGGTGCGATATTCTCGAACAAACCCTAGAACGGAATTCTCTGTGCATTGACCAAAGGGCGAGCGAAACCGTAACTTACCACTTGGTGGATGTAAGTGGTATACATCTGTATACGTATACGAGGAGTGTAGTAAAAGCGATCTCGGATCCAAGAGGGACACAGGGTGATTGTTAGCTTGCAATCTCTGACCCTCTCTCATTGTGTATTCGAATACTCCCATCACAATCCCTTTGGCAGTCCCAATGCCTCTTGTAGAACCCTCGGAGTTAGCCTCCACCCAACCACTCAAGATCTTTCATAAATAACCATTCTTATAGTCTCACGACACGCGTAAAAAATACAGGAGAATTGATGTGCTCCAACTATTGCTCATGGATCAACTTCTGTGCTATACAATATCTAGCCTGCAATGAATTTCAACCTGCTCCTCCGTAATTTATGACAATATTATGTTCAACTTTCTTACCGGGGGCGTTTTTTTTTTCCAACGCTTTTCACTTGATAATTGGATTTTGGTGATGGTTTAATTGAATGTCACGGGAATGCACCGCTCGTGTGCTTTAGGAGGGCAAACTTAATCCTCCGGAATAGTGTAATTTCATGATCTGCATAGTGCATACGCCGGGTAATTTGCCGAAGATGTATGTAATTTGCCCCGAGGTAGAACTCACTCATATCAGATGATATAATTTCAGATATTCGTACTGAATGATGGTAAATATGATTAGCGCGTTTAACCGCTTTATTTTTCATTCGAATGATTAGAGTTGTCGAGTTGTGATACGATGATTTACCAAGTTCTAATTCGGTCCAGTGATTCACAATTGCCGTTAGACTCCTCTCCACATGACGAAATGCCTCCAACAAACCATACCTTTACCCTTTCTGTAACGGGTAAATTAACGAGCTCAAAAGTTTGAAGACACGCATGGTTTGCTCGTGCAAGAAAATTTTACCAAGACAAGTTTCACGGAGGGAGAATGGCAGAGAAGTAAGAAGAAAGCAGAGAGGGAGATGAACGGAGGCTCGAGGGTGAAACTACTGTGAGATATCTACTTTCCCACATCGGCATCCCCAGGGAGCATCTTTAGGCTCTCGTAAGCCATGGCATGGATTAACCACGTTACTTGCGGTATGAACTTGCTGTGGTATACATATAGGTATTGTGACTACGGCAAATCAAGTCTTCGATTCAAATCAGCGGTGAAACCATAAAATTCTTCAAGTAAAGCCTTCCATCTACACTATTGGTCAGTTTCCACCAAATATCCAACATTTTCGTCATGACCATTTTTATATAACTAATCGAGAGCTACAAAGAAGGTTTTTAACAAAATTACGCTATCGTCCTTCAATCCGTAGATATTTCTTTAAATAAGAGAGATGGCGAAATTATTGTAGATATCGTGATTGTAGAACTAATTAGATTTGAGAAAAGAGTTGATTACAAAAATTTGACTATCTCCTTTAGTTTCAGAGATATTTCCGAAAAACTAAGCGAAGCGTTAATTCCTTCTCGTTTTATTCCTTCACTGGAAATTTTCTTTCCGCTGTGCGCTGGGTCAATATAGAAAATATCAAGTACAAGGAAAAATGAGAAAATTGAACATTTTTCCGGTCTGTGATATCTACTCTCTCCTCTGAATGTAAAAAGATGGTTGAAAATAATAGTCTCTGGTCGCGTGTGATCTTGACTAGTACCACTGTACAGTAGATCAGACGGACTCAGTAGTCACAGACTGGCCATAGTTCAACAGAGGAGTGCAATCTCGCCTTCTATTCTGCCTATTTCGTCATTCCTGTTTTCTCCTCCCCTTTTCCATCTCTTCTCTGCGTTGTAGTTGGA